ATGAACAACTAATATCCATGCTTACAATGAACTCAACTGAAGGGAATGATGATTTTGATTCTTTGGCTCAGTGCACTGAAAATACAAACCAAAATGGAAAAACTAATGGAAGCAATTCTTTGAGTTCACAAGTTTCAGATTGTGGAGATGGTTGCAATAAATTTAACCATCCTTTCTGATGAAGTACACAGCTTTGATTATCAGGAAGGTTTCTTTTCTGAATGCAGGAGACAAATATGAATCTGTTTCTCTAATTGTTTTCACAGCTCAGGAGAATGAGGAAGAAGCGGATTTCTTTTAATAAAACATGACTGTTTCCTGGTATGACTACATTTGATTAGGAAACATTAAATTAATCAGATTTTGTGACATGACATATCTCCTATTCTTGACAACATTTATGATATTGCCACAGATGGTAAGCAATTGGATGATTTGTTTTGAAATTATCCATGTCACAAATACTGGTCTCTCCTTTCAACTGCTCAAGATAAACAAGCCTTTGGTAACTCTAGTTCTTGATTACTAACAATACAAAACAAATTACCAATAACAATTCCTGAACTAACACATGGCCAGACACAGTCCTCTACCAATTCGACATTTTCTTCTTTCCTATAATTCTGTTCCATATTTTACCTTTTTCTTTCATTATTAGGTGGATTTATAGGAATCCTCATTCTTGAAATTTTTTTTTTATGTCAGACAGTTCTCATTCTTGCCATATGATATAAAAATAACCACTGCAGCAAATAAAATCCCTCCAAATAAAATAAATATAAGTCAAGGTTGCTTGATGACTACCACACATGCACCAGCTCTTCCAATATTCAAGGAAGCCATCTGTTGAAAGAGATGAGACACATCTTAAGACAAAGTTGCTCTCATAATTAATTTGCAAAGTATAATTAAAACAACTTCATATAAATAAAAGTACGCTTTCATTTTGTCATTTCAGCTAGAAGTAGTACAACAGAAATAAACACTAAAATGATAATTTAAGAGCAATAATTTGTATATTAAGAATTATAAAACCTACAATCACTTAAGACATTTTCATTGAAGAAAATGAAACAGACTTTTAGTGAAATGAACCTGCTACAGAAAGTTCCAATAATATTTATTAGTTCCAGAATAATATTTATTCTGATGTTCTCATAAACATGTTTGTGAAGTTATTTCATAGTAATAGCATACAGTATATGTTAGGAGAAAAACCCCTTACACTTATTTCAATCATTTTGAACTAATTTTTTCTAGATATTATATTGAATTAAATGTTTTATTCAGTCATTCCAGATAAAGAAGTGCAATTCAGTCATATCGCTATTTTCTGATAGACTACAATGACAATTTATTCATGGTTTTTAATTTTTATCTTATAAAAATAATTCACATGAAAATTGAAAATTATGAAACATTGAATATGAAAGTGATTAGATACATTAAATAACTTTACAGAGTTTATAATGGCAATTTATTTTTTAGAACAAAGCTAATATTTTCAGTTCTTGATATCAACTTTTATTATGATTTTCTAAAGAAGATATCAGGGCAGACTAGATATTATGAAATATTATTGCCAATTATGCAGAAAGTGAATAAAATATGAGATATACAATGGCTAAGAACAAAAGATGTCAATTACATATGTTATATTACTCCTTCATAAAGGACATGTTTTCATTTTCTAAGTACAGAAATTACCTCTTATTATGTTCCAGTTCATTTAATATATATTTATTGTTGCATATCCTATATTTGGTAAGAATTTTTATATATATTATTATTAATTTTCTTATATATAGTCTGTAATAGAAAATTTGATGCAACATCACATTCTTCCTTAAAAGTGTATTGTTTAAAAGGAGCTAATAGGGACCTGTGAATATATTGATAATTTCTGTTAAGAATGCACTTACACACTTATCATTTTCTGTTATTCATTATCTAATTGCTTTTGTGCTGATTCATATCTGAACCATCTGAAAGGGTGATACAAAATAAAGTCTACTACTCATTAGAAACGGTGGTACTACTAAGTAACTGTATTGTTAAAAATTTCTTCTCTGAAACCTGATATTCAGTTGATACTGAAGCACACTATGTGCCGGATTTCATAGAGTTTGAGTAGTTTCACTTTGTATTCATATCCTTCAATATTTTTCTGTATCTATGTCTATATATGTTACCTATATCTATATTATCTACACCTATATATCATCTATATCGGCATTAGCTATATCTCCAACCATCTTTTCCTTTATCTATATAAGCCTGTGTGAGTATGTGTGTAAATTAGTCCTTTCAATTAAAGAAAATAAGTGCTATTTGCACCATATTTCACATACTCATGAATAACGCAACTTTCTATTAAGGTGTCAAGAAAGATATAAAGCTCTCCATGACCCTTTGTTTTAATTCACTCAACTTTGCATTTGAATTATCATCAAACCATTTAAATGAATAGCACTTCTCTCATTCCTGTAGTTTTAGTCTAGGTTACTGAATCTTGAGTACATTGACAACAAATCCTCTTAATGTTATTCTCCAATGTTTCTCCTAATTATTTTTTTACATTTTATCATGTTCAGTCATTTTGAAACACAATTCTTTCTCTTTTACCTGCTTAATCCTCACTAATTCCTCTAGGTCTTAAAGTTTGAGGCTCTTCAACATGATTTCTGATCAAATGTAGTATAAAACTGTTTATTATCAAAATTTGCTGCACATCACTTAATTCTTGCCCAATGGGACATGCCAGGTGTTCTTTCCTCTCTTGTTAGTGCTGCTTATAAGTCTAAATTCCTCCCTATCATTTTATCTGCCTAGCTGTTATTCACTTGTCAAGCCTCATTCAACATATTGCTTGAAGAAAGTTCTCTCTATCTCTTTATATTTGGGTTCTATCATAGTACTAAATATTTCTTTAACAAGGAATTTATTATAGTGGTTTAAACTCTGAGTATTTGCTACATACACATTTTAAACACTTAAGAGAGAATATGTTTTCCACTCCAAGGCCCGACTTAATTTATTGGTCATAATCCTCACGTGTTCACCCTTCAGAGTTTGTATATTCCAGCAACAATAATATGATAGCTTGCAAAGCCTGGCCATAGAACCAATTAGATAAAACCAACAGTGTGTGTTGGTTTTTCCCCAGGCTTGTTTGAAATTCAGTCACAATATTTATTTTATGCTCAGTCACAGCATACATTCAATACACTCAGTCACTATCAACTAGTTTTTGTTCTCACAATATTCTCAATTAATTTATGTGAGAATTATACACATAAGTTGACCACACATCCAAAACTCTTCTAGGGTTTGGAGAAATACTAGATGACACACTGTGTGTGACCCCACACAGCCTGGTGATGGACAGAGAAGCACAACATAAGAGGACATCAAGACAGCACGCAGAAGTGAGAATTTTACCTGGGCTAGTGGAAATGAAATAAAATACTTATTTTTCTGTCTTATAGTACATTTATTACATTTTCAAACTAAGTTCACTAACTAATTCCAATGTTTGTTTGTTTGTATATTTTTTAGGGAAGGGTCTACAGAGTGTTCAGGTCTCATTATTAGATTGGACTTGTAGTGATCCACCTGTTTACAGCCTCCTAAGAGCTGGGATTACGGGTGCGTGCCACCACCCCCTGTCTCATTTGCCTTCTCAGCATGCCCTGGGGGCAGGGCCAGCACAGCAGGTCCAGGGATTGAACCCCCAGTCCTTTGGCCTGCTTGCAGGTGCTTTAAATAATTCTAATGCTAAATGATAAAGATAAATTTATTTAAAACACATACTCATATACACATGAACATACAAACATATGTATGTGTTCTTTGTAAAAAGCAATGATACATACATAGGACAATTGCTCCCAAATAAGTTACATTATTTCCATATCTAGATAATTTGGAGAGTTTTCCAATTATACATATCAGAGGTTTTTAAAATATTATTTCAACATTTATTCTATTGATACACAATTGTAGGGGTCAAGGACACATGGGCTCAGTAATCAGTTACATCCTTTTACAGGGTAAATGGTGCTAAACTTCCAGAAATTATTTAATATACATGAGGAATCTTTACAATAGGCTCAAACACTACAAGTTTTAAAGAGGTTTTTGTATGAATCTGCTGAGAGTCTCATGAGAGTCTTAAAAGTATAAACAATGAAAGGGTACAGAAGTAAAACCTTAAGGTAAGTTAAGAGATTTAAAATTAATGTTTATGTACTAAAATCAAGTTGTTATAAACATTTTCATTACTCTTTTGCTGTTTGTAAGATACTATACGATCCAAGAGAGTACAATAAAACAAAAATGAGGGGAAATTGCCTTTAGAAGGTTTTAACCTGTTATTACTACATGCATTATTTTTATTTCCATTTTAGAGGAACAATAAGCATAGTGGTTTTTTATTATAAATATGTAATGAAGATATTATGCTATATCATTTATTATATACCCATAAAAATCCTTTATTTAATGTTCATTTGTATAAGTGCCACATCTATAATACATACCATCGAACTGAGATGATTTTTAGCAAATCAATAATCATTAATCCATATAATATCCCATTTGGAAACATTAGAGACTCAAAAATCATACTTTATTGTCTAAAATTTTATTAAAACAATATGCGAACCAATCGTTGCATTTTTATATTTTCTGCTCTTTAGACAGAAATGATTCTGTCACAGCTAAAAAATGCACAAAAACAATCACAACTGGATTTGTCTAGTTTTTCTCCTCTTTTCAATTCATCCCGCTTTCTTTCCTCATCTAAATGTACATTGTTTTATTGAATTCAAACATTTTTCTTTTGGAGGTCAGTTCCTTATATAGGTATCCTAGCCAACTTTTAGATGTGCTTTGTGTTTCAAAATTAGCCTTGGTAATGTTTCTAAATACATAACAAAGCTGACACAATTGAGAAAGTTCTGCATATTTAAAAATCCAAATGCTTGGGAGGGGTGGCCAAATAACTCAGGGGATTAAACTGCCTGCAAGCAGGCTCAGTCCCAGGCCTGCCTTGTCGGCCCCACCTCCAGGACGCACTGAAATGGCAATTGAGACTGGGCGTGGTGGCATGCACCTGTAATCCCAGCTTGTGGGAGGCTGTAAACAGGTGGATCACTACAAGTCCAACCTAGTAGTGAGACTCTGAACACCCTGTAGACCCTTCCGTAAAAATTTAAAAAAAAAAGAAGAAAAGAAAAAAAAAGAAAAAAAGAAAAAACAAAAACAAAAACAAATACAAATGCTTCACATAGACTTCCTTCAATCACTTTCCATGTTCTCCAGATAGGTTTTAGCCCATTTCGTTTATCAAAGTTGAAACCATCCACTCACTGCAGCACCTGTTGTTATTAATCTACTTCAACTGAGTACAATTTTGGCATGTCACTGCACTCGGAAGGGAATATTTTACTTATTTACACAATGGTCTCCTAAAGTTTCTCACTAAAGAAATAAATATTATCATTATTGAGAAATTTATGAAGCAAGGATCGCTTATATGTAAGGATAAAAGTCTGAGACTGTATCCATTCCCTCTGCTATGCGCAAGCCCTAGTGGCTATGCAGCATAAGGTGAGCATAAGGTGTGCTTAGGTTCACCTGCCTTCATCCCTGCTTCCTTCTCCAACACACGAAACCAACACACTTTCCTCAGCTACGTAATCAGAATGGAGCACACAAACATCATCTTGGGCCTCTAATTAGATTGACATCCAAAAGATAACTTTTGACCTAAGAGACGTCAGTTATTTGTTTTGTATCTTCCTGGGCAATGTGATTGTCAAGATATCAGTGCTTGATATATCATAACATGTTATTTAAGCTCTTTGCTGTGCATTTTTCAGCTGAACTGGAGCAAAATCATTTTACTTTCTGTTACAGCTCTGATGATTAACCTTGCTTTTAGAGGCATAAGTGGACAAATCTCTCTTAATGAAAATACACATTGTCAAACAGAAATGACAGGGAGAAATCTTGAGTTCTGCAACTCCTATCTTTTTCATTCTGGTTATTTCTGAAACCACATATCCTACTTAGCATTATGCTTTTCTGAAGAAACTTATTACATTTTTACTTTTTCTGGTACTAACTACAATTCTGTTGTGGTTTCAGATTATCATTTGTAATAAAGTAGAAATCCCATTGAAACATGAATGAGTCTTTTAATATAAATTTATTAAAGTATTCTATGTATAAGAGGAAATTACACAAAATATTATTTAATACTTTTTATACTTAATACCACATTGGAATGAATCAATCACTCTTGGTTCAGTGTAATATGACCAGATAGATTACTTTTTATGTTTTCATTTTCCTACAAAAGAAAATCAGTCTTGCATGTAAAGTAAGTTGTATTAATAGTAGCCTCACCTGTGTCCACTCATTACTTTGTGGATCATACGATTCCATCGTGTTGAGGTACGTCTGCCCGTCATAGCCACCAACAGCATATAACCTGTCACCGAGGAGACACACACCAACGGCGTCTCTGGGCATACTCAAGGGAGCCACCATGGTCCATGTGTCTGTTTTTGGATCATACCTAAAATGTAAAAAAAAAAATAGAACATAACATACTCCAGTCACATCAGCTTGCATTCTAGGAATGAAAATTCAATCATTCAAGAAAGTTCATTATAAAACTAATGCCCGCAATGTTTCATAATGTTGCATTTCAAATTCAAAGTATTTTTAAAATATACTTATATTTTAGATAAGTGTCATATATTTAATAAAAATGAATGGTGTAAGTGCTTTTTAGAAGGAAGTGTTATATTTGTAAATAACTTTTTCATAGCAAAATGAGAGTATTTAAGACAGATATGTGTAGCGTGCTATGGTAATAAAACAAGAAAATGATTATGGATCCAAGAGAAGGGCCAACATGATAGCTCAGCAGACTAAGTGCCTGCTTAGACAAGCGCAGGTTCCAGGGTTCTATCCTTGGTACCACATGCCTTGCCAGTCCCACCCCTGGGTGGGCTGAGCCAGTGACCCAGTGTGGGCGTGGTGGCACGCACCTCTAATCCCAGCACTGGGGAGGCTGAAAACAGGAGGATCACCATGAGCCTGAGCTGTGTAGTGAGACCCCATAACAACCAAATGTATTCTAAAAAGAAAAAAAATAAAAGAATCTGAGAGAATCATGGAACAGAGGAACTTGATGAGGTTTCTTAAAGTTAGTTCTAAAGGTCTAACATAAATTTTCTGAAAAAGGAAATTTTGTGAAAACAATTATAACTGAAGAAACAGGTACATAACATGATAAAATTGCTAACTTTGATAAAGTGTGAAAAAGTAATGTATCTCACAAGATGTACACTGCTCAGCTTATGGGTTGCATGATTCTCTGG